ATACTTCCATTAGATACTTAATAAATCTTCCTGTACTTGTACTCAATGAAAAGGGAATTTGTTATAAAATAATTTGTTTCATGGTGAAGTTATATTATCACACTAAAATGTTAAAAAAAATAGATGAAATGTTTTAAACTTTACACTTTCTACTTTATATTTGTATATAAATATATTTCTTGGGGGGAATCGTCCGGGGGGGGGGATAGTCCGGGGGGGAATTGTCCTAGAATCGCATATTTGTCTGTTCTGCTTACCGGTATGTCAACACGTGTGTTTCCCCATCTTTTTATTATACATGTATACAATCTCATGGTTATGATCACTGCTACATTCCTCGATCAGCACGCTGAATAATTCATTTTCCAGAAACCATCACCAAGGTTGTGCCCCGAAAAAGAGGCTCCCGTACCGTTCCATTGGAGGCACCCATGACAGTCGTGATCCCCAACGCTACCTTCGCTGTGGCCGTCTTTACGTCCATTATCCTCTCCATCGTGATCACTGACATCCCATTGTTGACTGTGCAGATAAGACGCGCTTTAAGAAACATTAGGCAACGGTGAGACTGGAAAAGACAGCAAAACATCCATCCTCGTGCTCGTGGTGCAACTGAGACAGTTGGCAAACCTAACGGTGACAGCGAGCTTTCCAAGGCTAAGCTAATTAATGCTGAGCGTAAACGGTATTGGTATTGATTGCCCTTGGACCCATTGGCGCCATTATAAATATAAATGAGATAGGCCCTACTAGGTCCTTGTATAGGCCTTCAGGATTATTGGATGAAAAATTGAATGGATTTCTTCATTGCCATATTTTGAATATTTTGACAATGTGACTGGAACGCCACATAAATGCATTAATAACCATTCCTGGAGGTAAATGTTTTACTCCTTTTTTGTTATTTGTAATAATTATGTATTCAGATCTTTAAATATTATTTAATTCATTGCATTTATCGAAATTAAATAACATGACATGGTTGTGTGAAAGTTGTATTTACCTTGCTTTCGAAATGTAATTAAATGTACTTTATTCCCATTTTAAGAAGATCTTTCGAACTTCTGATATTAAATATGTAAAAATAACTTTCTCACTCTTAATTTTATATTTAATTAAAAAATTTTATTGGCATACTTTCCTCAGTTTCTACTTTTTATTATGTTTTAGAATACACGATAAATATATCAAATACATTATTTAGGTCAAACGGTTGTAAATTGATTATCAATAATCACAGATATGAAGATGCAAAAAACAAAAGCACAAACACATATATCATAAATATTATAGATAGGACTATTAGTACAAATGAGACAAAAGAGTACGTGCTTGTTGAAAAGTGCTATAAACTAACCTCATATACTTTTAGCTTTGTACATGTATCCAGTAGTTCTTTAAAAGACAAAAATTGTTGAATGAAAATGAAACGTTCAATGAATTCCGTTTTGACGAGGCATGAGTTTTATCCGTCCGTAATAACTACAAAAACCAGCGTTGTATAGTTACAAGTTTGCATTTTGATAGTTTCAAACTTGTTACCTACTGTAGCACAACATACATGCATCAGTATGTTCTTATTGATGCCATCATATGTAGCACAACGCTGTTTCTTCTGCATTCTATTAATCTGGATACATTTATCACCTACAGTATGATATGCCGGTAAGAAGTCCATTTCAGCTGGAGAAATATGGCCTGGTCAGGTTTCTGTTATGTAGCAGAACACAACAAAAAGACGCAGTGTGCCCGTCAAGTTCGGTTTATGATTAACGTGACTTGTGGACCTCTTGCATCACCTCAAGGACTGCTGGGCAGCTTTGTTATCAACGTATTCCTTGACAGTCTCTTGTTTATATTTTTCCCATTGAAGATTGTTGTCCAGGCGGTCGAGCAGGTCGTCCTCAGTTGGAAATGGTTTATACTGAAATCGGAGTTCGGTATGGATTAATGTAATACAAATTTATATGATTCTTTCTGCATTGCTAACGTGCTCAAGGCTTTGTAATATTACGTGTATCATTAATAATTATCCATTTCAGAAAATGTTGTTTGCTTTGGTCTTGTTCCTTTTCATTTCACATAGATTGGTTTTGTATTTGATAATATATTTCATTTCAGTGGATAATCAGAGGAAATATCTAGGAACAAACATAAACTTTCGCCTGGAAACCACACAGTATCATTTAGCAAATCTGCATTATTCGCAAAAGTGTTGCTTCAAATAAATGAATAAAGAATGAAAAACCAAAGCTGCCGCACTCGCACAGGCAGTCATCAATAGAGTTACTGATAATTCGGGGGTGCTTTGAGGATCTTTAGAACATTTCATGAGCGCGAGTCAAATGTCATTAAAGCCTATATCTCACAGGCCTGTCTGCAAGTCATTATAACGTGAAGAAATTATGTTTGTATAACCTTTGGCCCTTCTTCGCCCAACAGGACCCAAACACCTGTAGGCAACTCGGTAAATATGTATGTACATGTACCCGCGCTACGGCTCTAATCTGGTCCTCAAAGCAAATTTGGTATCCGGGTCTGAAAGTTTTGTCAACACATTTATGGGGTATACGTGTGCAAAGGGATATATTACCTTCATCCTAACAAGACCAAGAACCGTGTCATCGACGTGCATCATAAAGAATTTCTTGTTGATCTGGAGAATATCACAGCCGGCGCTTACCTAAAATACAAATGATGTATTACCTTAAAGCACATCTTCAAATGAATAAAGGAGGAATTAATACTGCAAAATACTGAATTTAAAGTTCCATGTGTAACCTAGGTTTGCAGTTAAAACGCTCTAAAATAACATATTCAAGTCATCTTAATCGTGTTTTATAAAAGAAATGCCGTTGTTCCTTAAAGTATCATCAGAAATGTATAAAATTAACAAGTATATATACGATTAAAACTTCTAAATCCGCCGGGATGATGACTGTCAAGACTTATATACAAATATTGCAACAAAAACAAAGGACAAAAATATCCAAAGTGAGCATCTTACCAAACTTGCAGAAGCTCCCCTTTCGTCCGGTTCTAAGATTCCTCTCAGACCCTGAAGTAGTTAAGAGGTAAATATAAAAAAACCCTATTTTGGCCCTCTCGTCATCTCACCTGGCTTTAATTGAGACATTTTCGCCAAAATGGAGAATATGTAATTTGGTAATTATTTAAAAATAACTAACCAGTATTAACGAACTAGCTCATGTTTAAATAAAAAACAAAGGTGTTCAAGTTAACGATATGTACCAGATGCAAATCCCATGCATAGGGACAGTTTTAGGAACAATTCCAGAAACTAACTCTTGTCAAAAAGTAGTGCGATGATTTGCATCATAAACTGGCACGTTTCACCTTAGGCCTAATGAATACGGTAGGTGCTACTTACAAACACTTGTCCTGCCTGAAGCGTCTCGATCTGAACAAACGGCGGAACTGCTATTTGATCGTCATCGTCAGGTTTCAGAGAAACCCTCCTCTTGTGTTTTCGGCCATTTTTGGAGCGGCTGCTGTTGGGAGCTATAGATGAACGTGGGGAGGGGTCAAAGCCTTCCTCCTGAGCTTCTTCTTCAAGTTTCTCTTTCTCTATTTGAAGCCGTAGCTGTTTGATAAAACTTCCCTGATTGTTTAGATTTAAGATATTCAACTTTGGAAGAAACGCTTTTGGTTTGGACTCCCCATCGCTTGTCTCGTCTCCTGAAGGTTCGTTCATGGATGCACTTGTCTGGGGTCTTGGTGGATGGAGACTGTCTTGTTTCCCGTCTCCACCTACCGACGGACTGGTCTGTGGGCGCACCATCTGACTAGTTTTCTTCTTTTCAACCTGAACCTCTGTGGTCAGTTGTCCTTTGAGTTTGAGTGTAGGCGGAGCTGACTTTGGTGGTGATGATTTTGGCAGGACTATTCTTGGCGTTCCCTCTGGATTTTTGGGGTGATAATGGCCCAGACGATACTGAGACTTGACTGGAAAATCAGTCACATAACGAATTAGCTCATAATATAAGGAGTAATTGTTGTGTTCTTCTGTTTATATAATAATAAATAAATTTCCAAAATTGTCAAGACAAACTATGTTTTTCTATCAAAAATAACGGTAAATGGTGCACACATTGTAAATGGTTCCTTCTGCTTCAACCGTTTCCATTGCAGTGAGGATTTGTTCTCTGGTTTCATGTCCGACACCCAGTCCAATGGTTAGATATAAGGAAATAAAAGACTATATCTGCATCAACAACTGGAAAATCTACTTTACTAAAATAACTTCGTCTACTTGGAATATGGTAGTCACCATACTTACGGTAATCTCTTGCTGATACGAAGTTTAGCAGCTGTTTGGTTTTAACAAAAGGATCGTCTGCGTCCACCATAGCTTGGACTTTTTTCCTCCGTGCGCTCACACTGATTTTTCCGACACTCAAGTGCTTGATTACGCGGGCCTCGCCCTGTGATGTTGAAAACACGTGTTATTTTTAACATATTTTACTGTTAAGGTACTTAAATCAAATAACCAAATGCACACATGCAGTAAATAACGCCTACGTGTAATATATTAGTAGGCCTACTATCAATTTTCAGGCTATAAAATATACATGCAAGTAAAAATCTGTTTTAGAACCACGTACGGGTTCCTTGACCAAATCGTGAATATTTGATGGTTTCTCCCAATGATTTAATCATTGATATAATCACAACGTTTTGCATGTGCTGATGCGACAGTAACTGAGACAACCACATCAACCAAACCTTGCTCTCTTGTGGTACTTACCGCCTTTACAACATATATCCATTCAATGTCGTTGCTGTTTTTCACAATAAGTCGTCCAAACCTGGAAGAATGTATTTCCATACTGAATAAGCAGGTAGATTATACAAAAACTAGAAAGCCCTGCAAAAATAATGACCCCCGTCTTTATTAAAATGTTTGAGTTAATGCGCGTTAGGTTGTCGTTCTCAGATGCAGAGAGATCTGTAAAATAAATCTGCGTTTGCTGATGAACAAATAAAAATAAGTTACATTGTGTTCAAAAGGAAAAGCAACTTGGTCTCTGCTGAAGCTTTAACATGGCTGCAAATCCAAAACTTATCTCTCAAGAAACGTATCGGTATATATGCGCAACGACTGACAGCAGTAATCGCCAATGTACACGTATTTCATTAAAATAAACTTACTTGTAGTGCAGGACCGCCCACGTCCCTGGGTTTTTCTCCAGAACTTCCATAGGGAAATGTTGAAATACGATTTCCTTTCTGAAATCATCACACACAAGGATTTTATAGCGGTTAAACTTTCAACTAACTGAAATATCCTTCACACATGTTGATTCATGTATGTATGTATATATGTATGCATGTATATGTATAGGCTACAGCGTTTAAAACCCGTATATAACCAATTAAGTCTGAAACACACAACGACTGACCTGCAGATATTTAATATTTTAGGGTCCCCTGCATCTTCAGATTGGCTGAAAATATCCATATAATCCAATCTATGGAGAAAGAGGAGCTCCGCACTTGTACTTTTGATGATGGCATCCGATCGCCTTGCGCAACCACATTCGAGGTCTTTTTCCTATAAACAGCCATTGAAAAACAAATTACTAGCGAATGCCAATGTTCTATAGGTGAAGTACAAAGAATAGTAGAGAGACAGTGATGAAAAGGGGTTAATTAAACGTTTGGGTCTTGTGAAATACTTTGCATTTTTTCTTTACAGGGACATCTTTTAGGTTACCGGTACAAACTATGTAGTACAGTATCAATAACAGGACAATTAACTTTTCAATAATTATTAGATTGTGCAATTTTGCACAAAAGAAGAGAATTCAATAAAACAAAGGTGTCAATTCGCCCCAAGGCACATTGAAAAGAAAAATTCACGGTATAGTTACATTTAATACAAAGAGTTGGACAAATACCGGTACATGTATTAGTTTGGCTTTAGTATCTGATTAATACGCTAGCACGTACATTTACATTGTAATGCGCCTTTTTTTCCACCAAGGACAACATATGAATTTAACCAGTAACGGGAATAGTGGATGTTGGTTGCAAACAACAGTGTTCAAAGACTTTTACATGTAGATTAACTTACCCCAAATATATCCCCTCTTTTCAAATGCACGTGTTGTTTCCAGTTCGGAGCATTTTCAATGACTGGAATGGAAGACATGGAGTAAATGGAATACTGCGAGATAAACACCTCATATCGAAAATAACATTCTGAGCTCGAATTGCTTTTGAAAGGATTTTGATACAAACATTTTGCCTCATTTACTTAAAGTAGCTTATCACAGATGAAAATCATTTCTAGGTTGAAATAAGCACTTTATAGGACTAAAATTGGAAAATATAATTGTGAATAATAAAAATTATTTTTAAATTGAAATAAAAAGCTTTCGGGCTAAAATATGTAAAAAATAATTGTAAATGATACCTGCTCCTGAAAGCACAAAATAGAGGCCGTCCGATGGTAATCCCCGTCGGATAATGACACGATCACGATAATACCTGAATCATAGACAAGACACATCATCTACACTGTTTTTGTCCCTTTGTTACCACAAATTCAAAATTCCTCTAAAACTTAAATCTACATTCAATGCCGCAAATTTGAAAGGCGCTAGTTTTATCATCTTTTAAACTTAAAGATTGTAACTTTTAAAAATATAATTTCAGAGTGAAAATATATGTATGACTTTTGAAAATATTCTGATGCACGAAATGGATTGTTTTGTCCTTACTTGTCAAAAAATGCAAACTGGCATATTTTCTTTTGAACCACGAACGGGTAAAGGTTGAAGCCATCGGAAAGTTTCTTCATCATTTTTAGCACCTGGAATTGTAGAAAAACACAAGAAACGCGATGAAAAAGAAAAGTGCAACAGACAAAGGATGTTCATAAAATAAACAAAAATCATAAACATAAATTAGTTACAGTAATTTACTGTAATTTTAATACCATATCATCAAAGGGTCTAACGTCTACCTTTCGGAATCTGGAGAATTTTTAGAGAGAGAATCTTACCATCATGGCTTCTTCTTCCGTGCGCGTTCCCGGCATTTTGTTCAGAATTGCGCGAATTTCTTCGCTGATCAGGTCCTACGGAAAAATTATATGAGACCTTTTTATTCCTTATTTTACCGACTTTATTATTAAATATAGTTCTAGGGGCTATATAATGAGCTTTTTTAATTATAGATAAAGATGTAACAAGAAGAATTTATTTTTCAAACACGTTTGCCATTGACTCGTACTCAATACATAAATGTTTCTGTATTTATAACTCGGACGCCTCTACTTCACACTCTAAGGACACTGTCACTGCAAAAAGATTAAAGGAAAATTATTGCACTGCTTGCTGCTCTAAATATTTTGCTTCATTTAGTTTACATTCACGTAAGTTCTATAATTACGACAGATACAATGCCCGCACCGACCTTTTTCTTACGGCATTTTGTGTTACGGAAATTGGCCTAATTTAGCAAAGCTTGTTCAATGACGGAAAGCAAAGGCAGCGTTAAGAAGAATGTGACTGCTAAAACCAGGATCGATACCGTCTTTGCGGAAAAGCAATTTTGATAAAAAAGCAACCCACGTTCTTTGTAGTTTTAAAGTAGTAATTAATTGGGCGAGGTATTGAGGTGTTCAATATTGACTGAAACTCGACAATCTTATTCACCGCACTCATGCGTCCAAGTTTGCACTAGTCGGTGCAAGGAAACATTAAGTACAAACCCCCGACTAGTTTTGTTCTGTGGATGACTGAACATGTCTGATAATAATGAATGTGCGCGAGAGGAGTTGCCACGCCTTAAATGCATGCTGAACGAATTCTTATAATTCACGGTATTCATATTTCTAAGGAATATCAAAAATCACACCTAAAACCACTGACAACTGGGTTATGAGTACCTATACACTTTACTATGCTTCTTTTGTATGTTAAAATAAAGTGATTTCTCTCTAATGATTAATGACTCCTGATAATGACTTATTCATTCCCTCCTGCCCATCAGAACCATAATTCCTTCGAACAGAACTTACATCGGACTTAAAATCCTTTTTGTATTCGGCAAAATCGAAGACGATCTTGTCTCTGCCGGTGCCCTCCTCGTTATTGACGTAGGTGATGAAGGCAGTCTTACTTCCCAGCTTCTTCCTCTCCTCGCCCTCCAAATCGTCTAAGATGGCGTACCAGGACTCGTTACGGACGTAGTATGCTAGGAGACTGAAAATAGAAGAAAAGGGGTTCATTATTTAGCATACACGTTCTCGTTACTAGTAAACATCTTTTACTTGAATCATGCACGCACGTTTTCCACAAAGATTTTTCTTTCAACAGCGCACCCACCTATCTTTATGGACAGGAAACAAATTTCGAAACAAGGGAATTGGGATGTTTTTCCAAATGTGCAGAAATATTTTGTGTAACACAAGATATTTCATTAAACTGCTATAGTAGTCAAAACTAACAAAAATACCACTGAACTACATGTATTATTTAGCCCGATATTGGCATTTTTGATCAGCTTAAAATACTTGAGTTCATTAATACACAAATACAATTTCTTCCCAACTTGAACCCCCCCCCCCACCCACCCACCATGTGCGTGCATTCTTTGTTTAGTAATAAGCATTTTAACGCAACTAAGGTGTTAAAGGATGCGCCATGGCGAAGACAAACACATTATTTTGTTAAAAGGCGCTCATGTTTTCTTAATGCCTTTTTGAATGTGCCTACTTACTCTTGACAAACATGAGACACGTTAATAATCATCTGCACTGCCTTGGCTGTCCGACGAAACTTGTCATAGGGCTGTAAGATAAAATGATAGATATTGGATTAGGTGAATGATAAATTCGATCACCATTATGAAAACATACACGTAATATGTTGGTATGCAGGCATAGATAAAGATTGTGAAGTATATTGTACACCCGCGCGTGTGCGCGTATGCGCGTGCGTGATTACGGGTTGTTCTTTGTATGGGTATGCTTATATATTCATTTAAATGTAAGTGAGTGTTTGCAGTTCCTTGGGGTAGCAGGGGGGGTGTTATCCTAGAATTTCAATATCTATAAGAAAAACTGTGAATCCTTCCCCGCCTTGTGATCCCCTGTATCAAAAAATGCTCGGTCTCTCTCTCTCCCCCCCTCTCTCTCTCTCTCTCTCTTTCTCTCCCCTCTCTCTCTCTCTCTCTCTCTCTCTCTCTCTCTCTCTGTGTGTGTGTGTGTTTGTGTGTGAGAGATAGAGAGACAGGAAACTAAATAAGTGCCAATACCTATTTAAAAATCACTTTCTCATGATGCATCTTTCTAACAATTGTTTGAATAGTTACATGTACCAAGAAATGTTGAACTTACTTCGATGAAATTCATCACTTACCCGAACATAATTAGATTTCTCTGTTTCCTCTTTCTTCACTTCTGCTTCAAACAGTCGACTCTCTTCTTCCGATGCTGTCTGTTTCTTCTTTTTTCTCCTTCTTTTCCTTTTCCATTGCCGCGCATCAGCAGACATATACTGGCCCAGGTCTAGTTTTTGTACGGGAATATTTTGAAACTTTGTTAATCGGTAATTTGATTTAACATAGTCCACTTTGGACTTGGACATCAACTTGTCCACTTGTTTCTTAGCACCTTGGTAATCAGATGATTTCTTTAACATCTGATCAATTTCTCGGGCAACTAATGTGCCTGGTATGACGTCTGTTGCCATAACAAGGGTTTAACAGTCTAATGCTGCCCGTAATCTCTCAGGTAAGTGCACTATTCTCAGGTATTGCCTAAGTCAGACAAAGTGTTGTCACGCATGAACATAGCGAACAGTTACACTGCGACTGTCTTGAATCTGCGGTGAAGCATGTTTCATCCAACTGGGAAGTGATGTCTTCAGTTATAGCCGAGGCCGGCCTTGACTAGTCCTTGCCTGCTCCTTATGAATATATTAATCTGCAATAAAGATACAAAGATGACGAAAAGGAGTCACTAATTTTATTAGTCTCGCAGTAATGTGTACTAGTAGTATCGATATATTTCATAGCAAGCTATACCTGGCCTCACGCGCACCGTTCTTTAAGCCATCGAAACAAGCTTACTTGTCTATATAAAATGTCTCTCTGTAACTGTCCTCCACCCCCAATCCCACAACACTCCCCCCACCCAAGCGTAAAAAGCAAAAATATCACTCTTTAACTTACCTCCTTTTCCAACAACGCCATTTAATCCAAGGTATCTTTAAAGATAATGTTTACAAATTCTGTCCATGACTACAAGTCTGCTCTGCATACGCAGCGATACCCCTATTTATCGCTCTTTGTGGATTTATGTAAGGAGTCGTACTATACAATGATGATGATGTCATTACAGCTTTGCACCTCAGTGACTGTAAGATCGAGTTACGTTTCCAGCTTTGTGTTACCACTAGGATCATCCAAAAGCACACTTGATCATGCTGGCGTTTGGGGTTTGCGGATAAGTTTTACCGGTACTGTACAGATTTTCTGCTCATTTAACATTACGAGCACTTTCTCATAATCTGCTCTAGATTGATATAGGTATTACGTTAAATGTTATGGAAAGGGAGTAAAACATGTATTTTTTTTTTAAATTTCATTTCGGAATTTCTTTGTTCAGATCGAAAAAGCAAGTCAATAAAATATGTCAAACGTTGCCCCTGTTTAAACTTATACGTTGCCTACCTATACACGTAGACCTACTTTTTTTCATATGCATGTACTAGTACTAATATCTAGTGAATTACAGGTATGTGCTATTTATAGTAAGAACCAAAACTTAGGAAACTGCATTTTAAAAGCCTCAAGGAGAGCTAACGTTGAAAATCACCATTACACTAAAAGGCACTGTCATGGAATATCATCTTTTTTTTTGGGGGGGGGGGGATAAAATATTTTCTGGTTAATCTGTAGCCGGTTGAAAAATCTTGCAGGACCTGGTAAGATTTCCCAGCTTTTTATATATATTTATCTTTTTTGACGTAACTATACATTGTGTGTACTTGCTCAAATAATAAACAATTTATTTTTTCCACATTTTTATCATGATATACGCAGCTTGCAATGTCTGCTTGTCGATTAATTAACAAAAATCTCTGTAGATTATTTCTCACGGTATATGCCAAAAGCAACGTACACTTCTCATGCTACAGAACTAATGTTAAGATGCAATTCACATAAATGCGTATAGGAACTTATAATTTTAATGCACATACCGCTACATGTAAATATATCCTGCTACTGGATACAGTCTATGTATGGACCACTCGTACTACTCACTGAATAGCCAAGTACGCTCACACGATCACACGATCACACACACACACACACACACACACACACACACACATCAGTAGTCATATTAACAACGAAAATCCTACCCTCGACCACAACAGGTCTAGATGTTCCTTATTTCTATCATAACTGTCCCCATGTTATACAACTAGGTTTCACGGTTATTTTTTAAGAAACCCTAATCTATCTTTTTATGGTTGTAGTTAATACTACGCTATCTTATCATCTGTTTACAGCTATCTTCTCAAGGCTTAAGTGGTACAAACTTAACTGTTTTTCTCATGTAAAGCGATAAAAGGCTGTATATTTACTTACCCCTTAGTTGGTGTTACCTGTAACTAATATCCACATTGGCTGAAGTGTGTGAGGATATTGTAAAATGACGGTGTGGCGTTATGGTTTGTGTATTTTGATCAAAGCGAAATAGTATAACACAGAAACAATTAAACAGAATAGTTTCCTACCCAAACGTTTCCTTGACAACAGCATATAACAACGAGCGGACTTCAGGGAACATAATACTCTTACCTCGCCAGAAAGTAGACGATAATGGCTGGACAGAGAACAGTGTCCTTCGAAGTCTTGTAAAATATGGTCACTCTTTTCCTTCCACAGCATTTTCTTTGTTGCCTTCACATAGCGACGGTCAAAAGACATGCGAAAAGGCCGGCTAAATTTACATTTCTTTTCGCGCAGGTTTGTAATAGTAGAAACCCAGTGTATTAGAGGCCGTGCATACCGTATTGTTATACATTGTAGCGATTCCTTTATTCCTAACAATACGAATTAACAGGGTACAGTGGTTCTACGCCGGATCAGTTATGTTTCCAAAATTTTGTTTTAAATGAATCAGTGGCGCTTTTGAAAGGCTCGAAGCCTTAAGAAAATATGCCTTTCTTTTAAGCGTTTCGTTCCAATAATAACAACAACGGTGTTCGGTAAAGTTGAACAGGCCACGATATACACGTAATTAAACTTGCCAGGTGCCCTTGATAGGGACCTTTTCTCTACTATAACAGCATTCAGACATTCTGGACTGAAAAATAGCCACATTTGTTTCACTTCTGTTTTGTTGACAAGTTTAGACCATTACGGAATTCTGCTTTATGTATATTTATGATAATTGCGACATACCTATTACGCGTATATCTACTGAAGGCACTGTCTACTACTGCCAAAATATATCGCATACATTTATCACACATTTTCTAATAAACCTTTAGAGCTTATTCATAGACGTTAAATCTTCTTCGCGACTGTGTTTTCAAGAACGACGACGCTCCTTTGGGATGTGTGGCGCTGGACTGCTGTAGTAAATGCGACCACAAGGAACACCTAACACAACGGTCTTCTAATGATTTCTTATCACTCTCCCCCCCCCCCCCCCTTCAACCATAGGACATTTTTTGTCTTTCGCTTATCCTAAACATGTCTTTTCATATAAAATGACAAGTATTGAAAATTCATATATAATTCTTTGTATACTAAGTAAGTATACCACTAAACAAACAACGCTTTGAGTATTATATACCTCTGCTTTTTAGTCAGGGGCATAGAAGTAATAACGTTTTTTCCTATGGCTGCGTAGTTGTACTATTCGACTGAACCCGTAAAAATACAATACTAGTGAACGGTGTGTAACGTTGTCATAGTAATAAAATTATCATTCTTGAGAGATTTTTTAAATATTTTTGTTCAGTCATCTTGACTACTTACTAGTGCACAATCGTGACTTGAGAATGCTTCTTAACTGGTTTTTAACATATATATAATATTCAAATAAATATTACATATGTATATATACCAGCTATTTCGCCTTTCATTTATGAAATAATGCTGTCCATGCAGCAAGATTTTTTAAAATGTTTGTTCAGTATTTGTTCATGTCTAGGCCGATTAATAATGATGTTTTTCCTACTAGTATTATGTCTTTACAAATTGATCAATGGGGAAAAATGAACCAGTACTATTTTTGCACCAGCATGTCGATTCCTAAAAGTAACATAATAATGAAGTTTTACAAATGCGGATTTGCAAAAAAGGCTTTTTGTAAACGCTGTATGCTGGTACAGTAGTAAAATATTTTATGGGATTCTCTTCATCAAGAATCATTAGTCAGCCGAGCCATGACAGTATATTGCAGATCGAAAATAATGTAGCATGGCAATACACCAGCGTTTTGATTTTACAAAATTTTCCTAAGATACAAATCAAAACTTGGTTGTGATTATTTTTGGTAATAAATTAAACAAGTAGCCATTTGTAAGCACGCGCATTTAATGTATTCATGAAATACAAGCGGAATGGACTTTGAGGGCAAACATTTGAAAGCAAATGACAAATGAAACAATTGGATAGAAAATATATAGACAGTTTACTGTTAAGCATTTTCTTAAACCCCAAGGGCACGTTCTCCCGGTGAATTTTATAAGCGAACGTTACCTATTCATCTACAGATAAATTAATATAACTTTACTCATACTTTTCTTTTTGCATTTTCTGAATAATGTTCAGTGTTTTATGACGTCCAGTATAT